TAATTAATTTATATAAAAAATTATAAAATTAACATTTATATAGATGATTTTAATTAATTAATTTAAAGTCAATTTTTATAATTGTTTTATATAAATTAATTACATAAAAATTATATATCTATTATATTCTTAACTTCTGTAAACAAAAAACCTCATTAATATATTACGGATTATAGGTTGGAAACATATTAATTAAATTTTGACATCTATTAGGCTCAAACCTTTATTCTCACCATGGTGGACAAGACAGCAAACCAATAGAACGTTGCAAACTTATTGTTAAATGCTGCACAATATTGTATTTATTTATATTCAGTTGAACAAGCAGTTTAAATGGTTTAATCAGTTAAACCAGTCAAACCAAGAACAGAAGTCAAAATGGTTTGACCTCCGGATCTGTTTTCAAAACACTGATTATTAGGTATATTGCTATTCCAGTTGAAAATGACTAAGTTTTCTAAAATGACTAAATGAAAATTAATTCGAGGCTGGATGCATTACGGTAGGAGGTTTGAATTGTTGCTTTTTTGCTTCGAGGGCGTTATGGTAAGTTGTTAAGCAATGGAATGAATTTTAAAGAAATTGAATGGATCTTAGAATTTATTCCCTCCCCTCCAATTTATCTTTTTATCCAAATAAAACCCCTTCACTCCCCAATTTCTTTTATCATACTGCTATTTTATTTTCCCTTATAGATTATTCAGTTTGAGGAAAATGGAGGGAAGGAAAGGGAGAAAGGTTCTTATTTCCACTTATTAAATTAAGTTGTTGAGCTAACAGAATAATTTAAGTGGTTATAATTATTTTTCCTTCCCTTTTCTCAAACCAAATAAACTATAAATCCATTTCTTTTAGCCCAAACAAGCTCGTCCTTTTTGTAAAAGACAAACAAATGTGAACCTAAAATGAAAGGAAAATTCTGGAAATGGCTTCGAAGTTTTGTAACTGCTTAGAGCTCTCTATAATTCATTCAGTTTTCAGATTTTTATACAAAAGTATTAGTTGACAGATATATATTCAACCAAATACACATCAAGATTATATCAGAAAAATCAAGTTTACCTAACACAGTACTGAGATTGCTATGTTAGATTTACATGAAAAAGAACTGACAAGTACACTTACTCCGTCATAGTTAAACTTTGTATTACAAAAGAACTAACAAGGATCAAGGAAAAAATTCAGGTTCTTCAGCACTTTTTTTAGATGCACATTTACAGCTAGGGCTCATTCTGGTCCTTTGTTCCGGAATATAAACAATTTGAAAAGCATGCTATGAAGTAATGTGCATGTCATCTACAACCCCTACAATCTCAGCATAATTCTATATCTTCACTATCTGAGTAAATTGTTATATGAACTGCCTGTAATGTCCCCTTTTCAGAGACGCTCAAGGTCAAGGGAAACCGCCTGCTACTCCATCTATGATATAATGTAAAGAGTTTATCAAGCTCGAACAACACCCAAATGCAAACCTCCGATCGGATTCATCAAAAATGGAAAAAAACATAAAAAAACTCGTATGGGGCACCGACACTAGTTATCTCATAATTCTCAATCAAAAGGGTAAATAGATATTCAAAAATATAGTTCGCTTTGTGTGTAAAACGAAGAGTTGTTTAATAAAGGGTTATGAGAAATCTATAAAACTAAAAAAAAACCAATGATATTTTGAATTAATGCATGGCTTCACTTAAGGAGTGTTTGATTTGAGAAAAATTGAGTGGAGAGGAGGGAAGAAAAGTGGAGGATTAAGATTCTGTTTAGTCTTTTTGTGTTTTTTGATTTTTAGTTTTGGTTTTCATAATTCTTACAACTATTGAAAACTGAAACTAAAAATTTGTTTAAAACAAATTTTAACACTAACAATTAAAAATATGAACTTGTTTAATACTTAATAGTAGTGAAATTATTTTTGTTTTTATTTTTCTAATAATCATAAAAATATGTTGCAAAACTCAAAACTAAAATGAGTTTTTTTGTTTAGAGTTGTAAAATATATAAAAATTAGAACAAAAAACCAATAACTACAATCATACTCAATAAAGCTTAAACTAACCTTATATTGTCTCCATTTTTGAATGAAAACAAAACTAAAATACCATTTATTATTATTTTTTTTTGGTACATAGAAACTAAGGACTTAATCCTATAGCAAAGAGTACAGATTATTCAACCAACAGATCACATGACTGATGATGAATACTATTTAAATGTGAATTAAGATGGACAGATATAATTAATTAACAAATCACATCTTTTTTTAAATAAAGATACACAACAAATTCAATTGCTCTCTCACACAATAAAACCAGCACAACAAGAAAAATAAAATGAAATGGTCTCTAGTGTTTTCACAATTAACTACTTGATAATCATGTCACACACAAATTTTAAAAATTGAAAGATTCTTTTGAATGCCAAAGCAAATGTGGGAACTCGGTAACACAACAATCTAGCTTATTGTGAGTGCACCATTGAAACCTACAAGGAAAAAAAAAATCTTCATCAATACATATATAGATGATTATAAGAGATAAAATATAGACTGCAACATCTATATTCAGCACCATTAGCATTATCCTTTTGAGACTAATGACCAATGCTTTCTTCATCATATTGATTAGGCACTCTGTAACCGTAACCATAAGAACAATATATATTAATTAATGCTGTAAAAAGCAAGAATGGGCCTAGTACATAGACAACGAACGGTTGTATTTTTTTTTTTTTCTTTCTTAACAAGAAACATTCAAGCAAAAAGAATAAAACTTGGGTTCTCATACATGCAGTGAGAAAGATAGGACTTCTTTTTTTTTTTTTTGTTTTTTTATTTTGGATAGATGGAAAGATATGATATGTTTGTAAAGAAAGATTTCTAAGACGCTGCCTAAGATGCCAATTATATATAAACACAAGACAATGTTCGTTCACGATGACCATGCATAATACTTAGAGAGAGAAACATCACCTAAAATCCCAATCTTGTTCATAGCCATTAAGTACCATCATTTTCTTTAGCAACATGATCACTGTTTTCTCCATTGCCGTTTTTACAATTGCGAGCACTCTGTAACCATCAAAACAACTTGTTGAAAGGGGAAAGCAAACACTGCAAAATGGTTTATAATTGAAAGTGCTTCTCTTGATTTGCATAGCAAATTAAAAGAAAAGGAGTTCATCAAATTACCATGACCTTGCATTTTAATCCATTAATCATATCTAGATATGTCTTGGACCTCGTTAATAGAAGTGTACTCTATTTAAATAAAATGAAAAACATATCTAAGGAGATATTTCTAATAATTTGACATTGTCCTTTAACTGGATGATTAAGTAAAAGGTTAAAAAAAAAACTTAAAAAGTTGATGAAAAAACACATAATGAAGTCTTTGGAATCATCATCAATGCATACCTTTTCCTTGAACAACTGTTGTATAGTGCTGTTAAGATTACCCTCCCAACTTCTTTCATCTTCGACTTCATCCTCTTCCACAGCTTCATCTTCATCATCATCTTTATGAAAAAGATCAACTATCCATTTTTCTACATCTACATCTATAGCTTCATCCATATCTTCATCTATATCTCCTGTCAATTTCACTTCATCCAGCTCTGGTGTGCTTAGTTCTCCCTTAGAGAAAATCTGCATATTTGGACACTCTGTAACAATTACCTCTTCCAAAGCTGGGAATTTAAAGTCGCAATCCCCTGAGCAGAAGCTTTCTAGTCTTAGTAGACCTTTAAGTTGCAAACACTTCAATTTGGGAAAAACTATGCCATCATTCACAACATCACCCAAACATACAACAATTTCTTTTATCATCTCACAATTGGCTACTATCATTCTTTTGAGCTGCCCCAAGCTTTTTGCTGTTGAGTATCTCACTAAATTGACAAGTCCATGACACTCAGATACCACTAGAGTCTGCAAATTGTCGAAATATACAGTGGAGGGAACTAAATTCTTCAATCTGCTACATTCCTGCACTTTTAGAATTTCTAGGTTTCTGAGAATGTCTACTTCAAGTTGGGATTCTTCCTTCCAAAGATGTGTTAGCCCATGAAGTTTAGACAATCTTAAATTCCTTAATGGAGTGCGTCCACACACAGGTTTTTCCTCACCAGTAACTTCTTCACATTGGAATATTTCATCGAAGAAAGCATCCTTCACTACAAGGCTTTCGAGATTGGGCAGAGAGTGGAAGAAGAAAGGTGGAAGAAAAGCCGATTGCTTAGGAAAGCCAAGGAGGTGCAGAACCTTTAGTTTACCAAAATACCCCTCTGGATGATGTCCACACTGTATCTTTATATTGTCATTCCCTTTCACAACCAGCACTTCTAGACTAGGAAAGGCGGCCTGAGAAATTGACACGAGTTAAGAAGACAATCCAAACCTTAAATAAATCTATTATTCTCTGATAAATTTGTCATTTCTAAGTTATACAATAAATCTTGACTTTGAAAAATAATAATTCTTTTACACTTATTTCTAACCATAAAAATTGATTTCCACATTTTTTTGCCATTGAAAAGTCACTTCATCTCACATAAATGCATCTATTTTTTCTTTCTTTATCATTGTTTTGTTTTGCAATTCTTCCATTTTTC